ATATTAAAATGATTGTAAATATTCTATAAACATACATCAAATGATACCTGTAAGGCTCTACACAAATTTTCTAATTTTGCTTGTTTTTTCATTGCATCATCAATAATCTTTTGATCTCTAGTTCGCTATCATACAGCAAATACGACAAAATTTTGTTCGTAACGTTTTTTGTTTTTTTTGTTAGCACCTCCCCTTGCATGTAAAGTTAAATAAATATGCAAAGAATAAATAGAATCATATGAAACATTATATTTGCACATGAATTATCCTAATAGTTAATGTCCTCGGTATTATTATCCTTTTGAGAAAAGTTTTAAACAAAAGCATACCTCTTCTGCCATTTCTAAGATATTTTTATTCATCGTATCGCATTTTCCTTTTATTGCCGAATTTTCCTTTTCAAGTTTCTTCGTTTTTTTGGTCATCTGGTGTATACAAACGCCTATAGGAGAAACATAAATATATCTTTTGATTGCAAATGTTATAGGACAAAATAAACAAACCTGTTCCATTTCTTTACGGAAAGTCATAAAAAGCTCATTACTTTTATTTAAAGTCTCTTCCACTTGTTTAAATTTATCAACATAAATGTTGAGTTGTTTACGTAACTCGATCTCAGTTTTAGTAAATGTTTCCACCTGACTTTTCAAAGAATTGACCTATAAATAAAAGAATTAGATGAATTAATCACATTAGATATCAGTCTCAAAAAAAGAATCAATCTATATAAATTACTTTAACTGTCTCTTGTTCAGTCAATTGTTTTTGTTGTTGTAGCTTTGCTTCATATAATTGCAATTCCAGATCCTTGGACCGAACAACGCTATTAAAATGCTTTTCCCGGAGCTCATATTGTTCTAAAAAACTACGGAACTTATCTTTCAACCTAATATCAATATTCATGATGTGTGAATAAATACAATTAAACTTGATTAAAAATAATAATTTTATACAAACACTTCATTATCTTCTGCACGCTTTTTTTTTTTCATCGGTGTCTTCTTCCATTTTAGACTTGATTTCCCAAATAGTATTTTCAAATTTACTAGACAATTCTTCCCGCTTTTGCTGTTCACTTGCAGCTAAACGTTTACTTTCTTCCTAACCATGATAACATAGATCAAAGACTTTATTCTAATAAAATGATTTATTTATTTATTTTTATAACAATTAACACGAACCTTAATACGTTTATTCTCCTTTTGTAATTCACGACAAATATTTTCTAATTTATGTTTTAAAGAACTTGTTTTTGACAAATCACTTTTCGCTAACCATAAATTTGGAGTTAAGTCGACGCGATTCAACGCAAAAAATTCATATCAATATGTCTTTGATTATTACCTGCATCTTTTTCTTTTTGTAGTTGTTCATTACGTTTCTTCATTTTAGCATAGTCACGTTCAAGCCGTTTCATATCTTGAAACTATGTAATATCAAAAGATCAAGTTTTTTTTATTATCAAATTATATTGATCACGTAATCGATCCTATGATTATTAAATCGAATTACGATTTAAAATTGAAAAAATTTTTTTAAATTGCCTAATTTCTTACCAATTCCATGTATCTTTGTTGTATTGTATCAAATTTCTCAATCTGATCATCATTTTGAGAATTGATAATTTCTTTCATTTCCTTGCTTGCCTTTTTAACAGCCTTTGCTAAATTTTAAAAAATGATGAATTGATTCATAATTAATTAATAATTTTCATTGATTAAAAAAATGAAATACGAGATAATTTATTAAAAATCTTAAACGAAGTCAGATAAAATTTAGAGGGATCCTATACCAATGGATTTTTCTTCTTCGTCTTCAATCGACGATTCAGTTTCGAGTTGAGAAATTTTATTTTGAATCATATTATTAAGTTCTTGAGGATCAAGCGACTTTTTCTTAGAAGACGTGCCATTCTTCTTGTTATTAACTGGAGAAGTAGGTGAAGTAGTCTTTGGTAAACTAGCTTTTATGACTGCCTTTGAAGGTATAGACACTTGTTTATCATTCACGTCCGACTGAATGGACTGAACTTCATTAGCATTTTGAGTCTCAGTAGCTGGCATAACGAATTTATTTATCGTGTACGTTTCTGTAAGGTAGGCGAAGGATAAAATAAGATTCCTAAGGACAAAGCCTTATCGTTATTTATTTAAGAGCTGAAACAGGATTCTCCCTTATTTGGAGACGAAAATATATAGAGATCTTTGAAATATTTATGAGCCCCTCTTTTTTTTTTTTTTTTTTTAATCTTTTATTTTATTTATTTCTTTTTTTCTTTCTTTTTTTTTTGTTTTTTCCTTTTTTGTTTTTTTTTCTTTTTTTTGTTATCTTCTTGTGTCATTTTTATGGTACTTTTTTTTTTGGTTTTTCTTTCATCC